AAAACACAGTGTATGGAGCGTGGTGATAGCTTATTATGAGATGCAGTGATAAAGTTGGGAAAACAGGAACATCCAAAAACTCTTAAAAAATTATAATATGGAATTTTATTAAAAAGTTTTTCAAAAGGAGTAAGCCCATTGAGAACTGGTGTAGGAAGACGGTTTACAATAAAAACAGCAGTATATAACGCATCTACCCAGAACTGACCAGGAACAGACGAATCGATCAGTAAGGTCCTAGTTAATTCCAGTAGATGTTTATGTTTTCTTTCAGGTACACCATTCTGAGCAGGAGTGTCAGGACATGATTTTCTAAATAAAATTCCAGAATTTAAAAAATGTTGTATAAAAACCGAGTTATCAAACTCCCCACCACCATCACTTTGAAAAATTTTAATTTTCAAATCCAAAAGATTTTCAACAAGTTTTTGAAAATTACAAAAATGAGTAAATACTTCAGATTTTCTGCGCATATGATATATCCAAGTATAACGAGAGAAATCATCAATAAAAGACACATAATATTTAAAACCAAGATTGGATAAATTGGCGATTGCCAAACATCAGAATGTATAATTTGCAAAGGTGCAGTAGAATTATGAAAAACATCTGTGAATGGGAGTCTGTGGGATTTTTCCAACTTACAAGAAACACAATCATGTAAAAAAGAAGAAGAACTAGTAATCAATTTTCGCTATCTAAGACTACCAAGAATTCTATCACCACAATGTCCCAGACGCTTGTGCCATACCGGACCAGGAATAACACGGGCTTGGAGGGCATGAAAAGGGTAGACATGGTCTTTATTGGTTGCTTGAAGAAGAAGCTCCCCCGTTTGAATGTCCTTAATACAAAAAGAATTTTTATTAAAAATTACTTCACAGGAATTGTCCGCACACAATTTTTGTATAGATAGTAAATTATATTTAATGTGAGGGACATGATAAACAGAATTAAGATGTAGCGGGCGACCATGTGTGACAAGCTTTAAATTACCAATGTGAGAGATAGGCAATTTAGTACCATTGGCAACACATACATGATTCGGACCAGTGTAAGGGATTTTTGAAGAGAGAATACCTTCATGAGGAGTCATATGCGCGGAAGCCCCAGAGTCAGGGTACTAGACCGAATCATGTGTCTCACCAGTAGGCAAAGCAGCAAGAGCAGGAGAATTAGCGGCAGTAAAACGATGACACGTAAGAGCTGAGTGACCTGGAGAAAAGCACGACTGGCAAACAACTGAGGGAGTGGAGACTGATAAGATTGATCCACAGATGGAAAACCTGCACTAATAGTATGAATAGCAGAAATAGGAGAATAAACAGTATAAGTATTACCAGAAGTGAGATTACACAATACCGAACCTGGAACCCCAGAAAGTGCAGGTGCACGTGGCTGTGGAGGGGCTGGTTGCTGCTGATACATCCCGTAGGGCTACTGAAACTGTGGAGCCCCATATGGTTGCTGCTGATACTGATAATAGTCACCACTTCCCCTTCCTCGACCACCACGTGCTCGTCCCCCTCTCTGTCCGCGACCAACAGGCGGGCGTTGACCACCCCGAGGACCCGTAGGCGGACGTTGGGCCTGCTGTGCAGGCTGTGCAGCCGCTGCAAAGGCTTGATGCACCGGGCCAGATTCCTGGGCATCCAGAAGAGCATTGCGACGCTCTTGTGCTTGTAGAAGGGGCGCCAATTTATCCAAAGTAACATCCCCCGGAAAATAATTTATGGCCGTGATGAGGGACTCATAACCACGTCCCAGGCCGATAATAGCATACTCAACCAAGTCCTTGTCACTCACCGGAGAATTAATGGCAGTTAAACCATCTGCTAAAAGTTTAATTTCCAACAAATATTGCTCCATAGTCTGTGAGGATTTCTTTTTAATATGAGATAAAGAATTTTTGAGTTCTATGGAGCGTGAAAAACAAGCAGACATATAACGTTGTTGTAAACGTTCCCAAATAAGATGAGAGTGTTTAAGATCATAAACTGCCATCAATGTATCTCGAGCAAGTGTTGCAAAAAGCCATGAACGCAGCAAGCATATCAAGATTGACTATCATTTTGTACGGGAACGCGTGGCACATGGCGACTTGGTCGTCAAACATATTCCTACTCAGTTACAGTTAGCTGATATATTTACTAAGAATTTATCTAGTCAGCGCTTTGAGTTTTTGCGTTCCAATCTACACGTGATTTCCCCTGCACAGATTGAGGGGGTGTAATAATATAATTATAGGAATTACTCTGTAATTTCCATAAACTCTATGTTTTAGTATAAATATAACCTCAACGCACCCAATAGGGTACGGTATTATTTCCAAAAATTCTTTTGTTCGTATACTACATGCTTGTGACGTACTACATATAAATTAAAAAGGGACAATAATTCTCTAAACATCAGTAAATAAAAGTAAAATTGCAATAATAGAAGTATAAAGTTTAAATTTCATAAATAGGATTAACTCTTCATATTCTACCCTTTCCCTTGTCATGCTTAATAGGATTTTTTAAATAATAATAAAACATATCAAAATTAAAATAACAAAGTAAAAAAAATAAAAAATATACAGTCCAAAATCACCACCTCAACCACTTTTTAGCACCACCACATCTAGTTGCCGGAAAAGAATACCAAGTTTTAAAAATGTCATTGTGATCACAACTTCGAAAAAAATAAAACTGAATATTTTCAAAAATTAAAAATGATGTCTTCATGTCATTTTCGGAAGAATGTGACACTTTTGCACAAGATGACATTTTTTATGGTAATCGGAGTTGGTGGTGCTAGGAGGTGGAGGATATGGCGACATAGGCATATATATTTTTTAAATATTTTTAGGCATTTTTTGTTTTTATAATTTTAATTTTATTTCCCACCATTTTTATATTTTTATTGTAAATAAAATTATGATTTTCTAATCATTAAAATAAATTTCCGTGATTATATACATTGATGATCTTAAAAGAATAAATCAAATTATGATAAATAATATTATGATATTTATATTTTTATTATAAATGAAATTATGACTTTTATTACTCTTATTAAACGTGGTACACAGTGTCTAGTACTATTGAGAGAGCAATTTCCCTAATGTTAAGCACATAAAAGAATACACACAGGCCGTTTGACAACACTATTTTTCGGTTTATCAGGCTTATCAGCCAACTTTTTTACCAAACACGTAATTTTTGCTTTCGCGCGCTGAATTGTGTAATAAGCAGAAAAAGTAAGGTTGAAGTTACTTTTCTGACTGCATTGACTGAAGTTTCTGTAGACGACCATTTTAGCTATTTTTTCATATAATTTTTTCTTTATTTTATTAGTAAAATATATTTTAAAAATAATTTTTTTCTTAAATCAGCAGAATCAGCCAATGCAGCCACTTCAGTCAGAACTTCATAAATTTATGTGCTACCAAACGGGCTCGAAGTGGATATCAAGGGAAGAGTAGAACGAAGCTCAACTATTTAAAGTAATATATCATGTGTGTTCATGGATCTTGAACCATTTTCTTCTATAAGTCGTTCAACTTGAACGAGTTGCAGAACTTTTGGAACCGGGCAACTACTAGACCAAGCTATAATAGAACCGCCAATCCCAGGTCGATAATTCAACCAATCGTGCTTTTTATATACGGTAAACATCTAATTCAAGGAATGAATTTTTCTAATACAGAAAAATGTAAGCCAAAATATTTGTGAAGACCAAATAGTGTTATTTCCAACTATACATGTGTCATCATCTAGCAATATCATCTCAAACGAAATCCTTTAATTTCCTGTGAAGAATTTACTATAGATTTTGTGTGTACTACTATTAGCTAAATTGAGCTATTACGAACAAGTAATTTTCTGATCTTCCGCTCTCTCAATTCCATGCTTTTTACATCACATTAAGGAAATGTTTTTGAATCTGAAAAAACGGAATCAATGACCATATGCTGAAAGGTTATTGAAATCGAAAATATATTTAGAGAGCATAATGAGAACTTATGCATTGTAGCATGTACCAGCAGTTTCAGTTCTTTCTTGACCAGTTCTAGTTAGTGTTTTACTTTCCTGTTATAGGACTCCTATCCTATACTTCGATCCCTAGTAACTTTTGCTGTAGTTCTTATTAAGATTTTGACCAGCTGATTATTAAGAGTTTTCTACATCGTTGGGAAGTGAGTTGAGAACTTTGAGATAGTCCTTGCAACAAAAAGAACTTGAGATAGTCTCTATGCATCTTGTCCATAAGACAAGTTTGTGTGACTCAAAATCAAGAGTTGATTTGAGTTGGGTGTTTCAAGGGTTGACTTGGTGAGTCTCTCTTGTACTTTCATTTAAAAGGATTTTTATTGTAAGTGAGTAAAATTCTTCCGAGGGAGGTCGAGTTTTTAATCACTCTTGAGCCAAGGGATTTTCATCAGAAAAAGAACCACGTAGTTTACGTTAAAAATATACTTTACTAATGATTTTTAGAAGCACACAAAAGGATGTAATTTCCAAAACACACAATTTACCTCTCTTTAATTTCCTCTTGTGTATATCAACGGATTCTACACTATCCTCTCATAAAATCGTAAGATATATTAAACAAAATCTGAGGTGTGAAAGGTTTCGCTTGTTTAACTTGACGTATATAAGAGTATTTCAATCTCAACATTTATGGTTAATAATGAGTTTAATAGTGAGAAACACTATTCCCTATATGTTGTAAATTAAATTAGTTCTATATTACATACTAAGTATATTCTAACAACAAACTTATTAAATGGAATAGATGAATGGCCTGGGACTAGTTAGCAGTAGAAGTGCTCCCATGAGACTCTCTCTTACTGCCCTTATGAGAACTTCTCTTGGTGGAAACTAGGGGACTATTCTCTTCCTCATCAGCTGTTACTCTAGGTCTCTCCAGCCCCACCTCACCGCCTTTAAATACGGGATGAACGTAAGCGTCTTGGAGATATGTTTTCATGTTCAGGTTCGGTTCTGTCGCCCTCTCTAACGTGTCTCTCACCATTGCATCCTGTGTTGTATGAATGTTAAGAATAAACAAAAGAATTAGCTACGGCATTAAATAAACACATATGAATGTAGAGTAACATATTTATAATCATAAGCCACAGTTTAGGTAGCAGAAAGAAAGGACCTGTAATGGGTACTTGACAAAGGCAGACTCAAATCGGCCCTTACAGACATGGTGGAACCATATAGTTAAAACAGGGAGAACAAGTATGACAGGAGTTGAAGTGGGAATGCCTTTGGTGTTCATTAGTCCCATAAGCAGAACTTGGGATGTGATCATGCCTATGATTATTCGTCGATGCACGTCTGGCCAAAATGCAGCACCACTCTCATACTTCTGATCATAAACATTGATGATCTTGATCACAAAAGAAAAAATAAAATATAGTTAATTAATGTTAAAAAGCGGGAAATTAATGCTAATCTGGCTACAATGTTAAAATGCGGGAACTTTACTGATTTAATACTTATGTCTGTGCCTAACATTAGTCATGTGACTTTACACACATTCGCGTATCATGCTAGAAAAGTAATAAGTTTGTCCATATTAGAGACTTTTCTGCTGGAATGTACAATTCTAGAGTAAGGCTTATTGGCCCGCAGGAGTGTAGTCCTAATCCCGAACCTACCCATAATTTTTGCAGTCCATAATTGCTTGTTTGTGTGTGTGTGTGGGGGGGGGGGGGTCAAATGGGTCAGCCGACATTGACATTTCCTGATTTCCGCAAAGCAAGGGTTGGGGAATGGTCCACCACAAGGGTGTATAAGAAGCTAGCATGGCCTTGCCTTGTCATTTAGACAAGAAGCCGCTAGCTCCTAAGACATGAACCCGTGACCTCTCGACCATACAGGAACACCATAGCCAATGTGCCAAGGCTTCCCTTCATAAGCTACATGAATATGCAAGTCAAGAAAATTACAAGATTAATAACATATACAAATGAACAAAATATCAAAAATATATTTTCCATTAAAAACACAATAGGAAAGAAGAGTAGCAAACCTGATGGCGGAAAACCAGATAGGCAAAGGAAAAGAAGAGAACAATGAAAGGAAGGAGTATGGGAGTGATGACAGAATAAACAAGGCCCAAGAGGAAATAAAGTTGAATACGAGGTTCTGAGGTAGCAAAAGTTATAGAACCAGGATCCATGGCTTGCTCCCTGTCCCTCTCTGTCTTCACCAAGAAACTGTTCTTTATATGAAACATTATTAGTGGCGTTAATCTAATGATCTCTGCAGCAATGCCAGACCAACCATCTACCATTATGTAGGTAATAAAGAATGTTGCCTTTATTGGAATAGCTACCCCAATCGTTTTTGGGATCCTGCATGCAATCATCATACTTTCCGTTAGAATATATTTATGTGTGTTTATGTGATTGATTTAATATACGGAATAAATGATATTTTTAATGTTTTATACAACTTGATCTTCTAGTGTTTATATAATAGGCATAATGAAATAAAATGAGAATCAATAAATATGTAATAGAGTTCTTTAGTTTTTTCGATACTGTTTTTTCCTCTCCAACTATCCTTTATACAGTATAATTCTTGTTGTCTATTCCAAATAGTCAGCTTAGATTAAGAGCTTTGGAGGGATTTAGAGGCCAAGACTTCGAAAGATTTACTCCACATATATCCTGATATGTAGAACTTTTTTAAAATGACTAGAAGGAGACTGAAAAGCTACATGATGAGATATAATATTGCTTCCTCAGTCCTAATAAAAAGGATAATCGCATTTACTATTCGTATATTCAACTTAAGTCTCTCTTAATCATGTACTCCACAATATATACTCTTGTCTCAAAATAGAAGTACCAACTTGAATTTTCAAGTCAAACTTCACTAAGTTTAACTATTCATTTTTAATAAATTGTGTTGCATCTTTGTATAATATCCGAGTCTAATTCGATTTCATACAAATTTTCAAAATATTGACTTATTATACATGCACCACATCTTTTATTGACACACACACACATATATGACATGTATATAATAATGTTAAAGTTGATATTGAAGACCGTAGAAATCAAATTCAAACTTCCATTTTGGGTTGGAGGTAGTATAAGATGAAGGGAACATACTCGGTTGGTGACTGATTCATAAAAGTCTTGAGTTGCTCAAATGCTGCTCCAGTGATAATACTTCCAAGAAATACATTCACAAATATAAACAAATGATATTTTCCGGCCGATCTTCTCTCTAGAGATGAAAGTGATGTAAAGCCTTCTATTTTAGACATGGTCATCAGAATTGTTGGAAGTACAATCATAAATATCTTTAGCACAATTCCTGGAAGAAACCCCTGAATAAAAGACTTCACAATATCCCTGTAAAATGCATGGAAAGACCAAGTAATACCTAAGGTTTTATTTAAGCAAAGCCTTAACTAAAATGTGCTATTTCAAATTTCAATCCTCTTTTTTATATGGAAGAATATATAAGTAAAAAAATGAGACCTCTTACATTTCAATCAATTTCTTCAAGAAAGGAAAGACCTTTTCAATGCCCTGAATGCTGGCAAGAGACTGAATGAATGCAATGGGGATCATAAAAAAGAAGGTGAGGAAGAAGAAAGCAGCTCCCATGAGCAACCTTCTGATGTTGAGTTCAACATATGGGATGGAAAGATTGTTCCAATAGACATCACGCGGTTCGGGAGCCCATTCGGTCAGCCAGATGGTCGGGTTACTTGTTTGCTGTGTTTGGGCACACACGGCTGCTCCCCATCGAGACGAGAATGAAACAAACGCCGCGGGCATTATTGCCTTTGGATCACTCAACACTTTCTCTCTTTCTACATCTTCCTAATCCAAACCACATCAACACCGCGTCAATTATTCCCCATTCATGCAAAATTTGTATATGACCACTTTAATGAGGCATAACTTGAACAGTTGAATGATTTTAAAAAAAATTGAACACTTGAACGAATGGTATTGATATGTTCTGGTATCTCAACTATTACATGAAATAAATATCATAAGTACATTGAAATTTCTAAGTTGATGGTACCATTTGAACTTCATACCATAATCAGTATACTTGATAGGCTGAAGTCTGGGTACATTTTCCAAAAATAAATGTATGATGAATTAATTCACATAATCAAGGATATCCATACATAGACCAAACCAATTAGTTCGAAAAATTTAAATGAAACAACAAAATTAGTTTGATCAACTCATCCACAATTTAATATATACCACAATTTGTTTCTTTCACTATAGAAATAATTTCTTATACCAGTTGAAAACTAAATTGCAACAAGTATAGAATAACCTGTAAAAGATGGAGTATTTAAATGGATGGATATAAAACTATGTTGCACGGAAACTAAAAAATCGTGAAGAAACCAGAAAGGGAAACATCATATTTTGCTCGTAAAACAATTGTGTGAAGAGTTTCCAATAAGTTCTCGTAGATTTTTGGAGACGAAAACATATTCTTTCCTGAGAGTTTCCGTGCTTCATAGGTCAAAAACTAATTAAATATGAAGTGGGTGGTATCTATTAGCTCTAACATGACTTGCGCCGCCATCCTAGCTCAAAACATGAATCTTAGATCAGATCATATAGTGAAGAGAAACTTACTTCTTCACTCAACTTCTTTATTTCAGAAGTGTAATAATCAATGGCATCAACAGTTGTTCCCACAAGGCCCCAAGGTCCTGTCTATACATGATGAAAAAATGAGACTATGATCCAATTACACAAAAGATGTTCATATTTAATTATATCATTTACATGTGATGTGGGATGAATTACCTTTGTTTTTGGCTTTGTTTTAGGGTTTCTCTCATACTTTGTTTGGTAGTAAGTAAGCCAGTTTGTCATAGTCTTCTTTTTCTCCACCAGTGTTGCAAGGTTGTTTGCATTGTATACAATCTAAAACTTTCACCATTTTAAGGTTAGGTAGCATAAAACTTCAAAAAAGTTCAAAACCGACTAAACCAGCAACTCACCTCTTCTTTAACTTCTTTTAAGAATTCAAAAAGTAGCATATATATAGCCTAAAGATCACAAACCTGGTGTAAAAGGTAATGATGTGGATGGTTTACACAGAAGAAGTGTTCAACGTGCTCACTAATAGATTCATCAGGGTCAGGAGGGACATTTCTCACAAGGACCTTCAAAAGGAATTGAACCACAACTTTTAATCAGCAAAAGACTAAGAAGTCAAACACTAAAAATGAAATAGAAGTATATAATAATCTCATAATATTGTTGTATGCACGCACAGTGAACTGATCAGGACGGCGATCTGCAGAAGCAAGGAATTGCAACCTCAAGGTGGAGACAATTTTGTACTCTTTGTAGAGAACATAGAAGGTCCAAAATGTAAACATATAAGCCATAGTTATGTGTGCCCATAACCTTAATTACACAAAAATTAGCCAATGCAAAAAAGGGTCAACATTAAGGAATATATTATTAATTAGTGTGTCATAATATATAGTCTTACACTCATAAACATATATTTTGACATATATACACACACCTTGCTGATCCAGAATCAATATTTGAGATTGAAAGTTTATCAATGTCATTGTACGTTATGTCCTTGTGATTCTGCAATGATTCACCCGTCCAATTAACAGGAACCAAGACAGCAAATGCAAGAATTGTAATGGGAACAAATATTTTCAATCTGCATTGAAAGTTTGTATATTGGATTAGAAACAAAAAGTGCAAGTGTTATACTTAAAGTTGTACACTTTGACTAATAAGCCATAGCTAGGACCCCAACTAATGTATATTTAGAAGACTTAATTAGAGACTTCAAATTTATCTTCTATAAAGTTAAGAGTTACATATATGCGGGTGATGCTGATGATTAAGTAGGGGTACAACCTATATTAGGAAAAAACTCATGCATAATAAAGAAATGCAGAATCTTTACAAGTAGGAGTAAAACATAAGCAAAATACACAAAGCTTAGTACTATTATTTTAGAGAAAATTATGACTAAGATTTTTCTTCCTGATTTATGGTGTGGTGTCATATGTAAACTTATATGACAATGATTTTTTGAATGGATAGTTTGCCTATTAATCAAAAACTAAAATGGCATATATCGAAAAAGTCATAAACTTTTAAGAGAAGTACAGAAAGTAGAGCATTTTCAGATAAGAAATGTGTTTCATTAATTTCTTTTCAAAGTCAGCCTCATGTTTTAAGTCCGTTATCACCCATGGGTCAGAAGCCAAACTCTATTAGAAATAGCGAGATGTGATTTTTTTTTTAAATTGACCCTTTACATGGCCAATAAAAACTTAGGGTGGCTCCTTCAATGTTATGTGGCGCTTTCTCCTGGTAAACAATGAGGAAGAAGACGATGAATAGTGATATTTTAAAGAACAATCCAAATGATTAAAATAACTTTTTCTTGCAGATTCTATGGCGTATTTCTTCACGCTTACAATATCTATGACTTGATTTGACATTTTTTAAATTTTTTGACACTTTTTGAAAACATAATTCATAGAATTCACTGCCCATCGTCGGACTGATTTTAAACCATAGATCAATTTCTGAGGATTGTGTCTGCAAGTTACCTATGGATTGGGCCTCGCCTAAGAAAAACCTACATATCCATTTTGACTTGCTGAAAACACCATTGATCCACTTTTGGAACTACCCATTGGTTGAGGTATTGTGCATTGTCTGTGCATCTAAGAACTTTCCTGTGACAGAGGTGGCACGAAACAAAAAAGGAAGATTTTTTTAAGCTCGTTTTGACGAGGCGCATCTCTCGTTACTTCTCTTTTAATTTTTCAAGAACTTTTGAGAATTAAAGTGAGTGTTCATCATCTTTCTCATGTGAAGTTGTGAACTTACGCCCACCTCATCAGTTGTGTTTAATGGAGTTTTGATTCTAATGCCACAAGTAGTAACAGACCTAAAACACGAAGACAACTTTGGGAAGAAATGAAACTTTGGAGTCCCTATCTGAAAGTGCTCTTAACAAAAAGTACTTTTTCCTTAATCTTTTAGTTATACGAAGTATATGGGTAAAAAAATATCATTGAATTTTTTTGTCTCAAATGTAAGACTCATTTATTCCTAATAAAAGAATAAGACTAGTTAAAACATGTTTAAGAAAATAATAATGACAGCCAAATTTGAGGATATGGATTATCTTTTAGAGCCCGTTTGGTAGCACCAAAATCGGCTGTTTTGGCTGATTCTGCTGAAATTTATGATATTCTGGCTGGAGTGGCTGTTTTGGCTGATTCTACTAATTTAAGAAAAAAATATTTTAAAAATATATTTTATTAATAAATTAAAGAAAAAATTATATGTAAAAATAGCTAAAATGGTCCTCTACAGTAACTTCAGCCAATACAGCTAGAAAAGTAACTCCAACCTTACTTTTTCGGCTTATTACACAATTCAGCGCGCGAAAGTAAAAGTTATGTGTTTGGTGAAAAAGCTGGCTGATAAGCCTGATAAGCCGAAAACAGAGTTCTCCAAACGGGCTCTTAGTCCCATTTATGCAATTTTACATAGTAATGAATTATACTCCCTCCGTCCCAGAGACAACTTCCCACCTTGAGCACATTTTAGCGGAAAGTTAAAGTGTGTAGTTGACTTTTCAATAATATCTCTACTTTATGTCAAATCAAGTAAAAAGTACTCCTTCTGTCCCGGAAAATTGTTCCCGGTTTCCTTTTTGGGTCGTCCCAAAAAATTGTTCCACTTTCCCCTTTTGGAAAGTTTTTTGTGACTACAATTCATTTACCTTTTTCTTACTCAACCACAACCATACATTTCTACTTTATTCCCACTTTCTTAAACTCCGTTCCAAGTCAATGCGGGAACAATTTTCCGGGACGGAGGGAGTAAGTAAAAAGTAAGGATAGCTGTGATACTTCGTATTTTCTATGGGAAAGTTGCTCTTTATGGAAATGAGAACTTTATTTTGGGACATCCAAATGAGGGGAAATTGTTTTGGGGAACCCGTATATCTTTGGTAAACACAGCAAGCATATGCGGGTTTGCTATAATTGTATTTTAGCTGATCTAGTTAACTGCCTTTTGTATGTAGTACTCGTATAACCTAACAGGCTAATACCAATGACTGATCTCGGAAATCACTATTCAACTTTCTCGAAGTAGGACTCTTTCACGGGTGGAAAAAGAAAATTTATTTGCTTTTATGCTTCACCTAGAACTAAGAGCCCGTTTGGTAGCACCAAAATCGGCTGTTTTGGCTGATTCTGCTGAAATTTATGATATTCTGGCTGGAGTGGCTGTTTTGGCTGATTCTGCTGATTTAAGAAAAAAATATTTTAAAAATATATTTTATTAATAAATTAAAGAAAAAATTATATGTAAAAATAGCTAAAATGGTCCTCTACAGTAACTTCAGTCAATACAGCCAGAAAAGTAACTCCAACCTTACTTTTTCGGCTTATTACACAATTCAGCACGCGAAAGTAAAAGTTACGTGTTTGGTGAAAAAGCTGGCTGATAAGCCTAATAAGCCGAAAACAGAGTTCTCCAAACGGGCTCTAAATCTATTTCAGTGATACTACCCTGTCTCACTTAAAGTTTCTGGTCCATTATTCTCTGATCAACGTTAATTATTCTTAATCGTGTAATTTATATATCCAACTTTTATTAAATTTAATTTTTCTTTTTGCGAATTTAAAAAACTTTTACTGGGAACTTTTAAGTGGGACGAAGGGAGTAAAATATAGGTAGCTTTAAAGACTTGTATGTCTATGCTCTCCTATTGTGGGCCATTTAGGGGGTGTTTGGATCTGATTCTTAAAATTGCTTCTGTCCTTCAGGGAGCAGAAATTGGAGTGTTTGGGTGAAAGTGCAGAAATATTTCTGGTGCTCCAGTTTATTCCTAGAAGCAGTATTTTAAGAGTTGGGGGAGACCAGCTTCTGAAAACTGATTTTGATTCTTGCTTTGAACAAGAAGTAAATGCAGAATCAGTTCCAAACATCCCTTAATTGTGAAACATATGTAAAACGTACTCACCCAAGAAGGTAAATCCTAATGTAGACTGCAGAATCGAGGCCTGCATGGTCAATAAGTTCAGGTTGAGGCATCTTTAGTGCAGCGGGCATCCAGTTCAAGAACCTTATATATGTCCTTACGTCCAAATTCACAAACTTCCGCACTAGGGGCCCCGAACTTCTTGGGCTTGCTCGTATGCCCTTCAAATACCATTTTGGGAAGTATACCCTATCATTGAAGGGCTGCAGCCTTAAAATTGCAAACCCCACTAAGAATGCAATTGCAGATAGAAGATTTATGGATGCTGACAGCATAATATCCTGCCCACCAGCCATTTCCTCTTCTTAGCTAGATAGCTCCAAATTATATATATACAATCCTCTATTTCCACACCTGCAAGCTAATTAAATCAGGTGAAAAAATCAGTTGATCATGCATGCACTCACAAGAGCAATTCAATAAACACATATTGAGGTCCATTTAGTATGAGATTTGCCTTTTGTCTTAGTTATGAGTCCCTAAACTTTTAGCTTGACTGTTAATGTGATAAGAACAGAAAAATAAAATCAACGGTATGAACCGTTGCCCGATAATCAACGATAAATAAATACCGTTGCCCAAAGCCAAAAGGCTAAACCAACTTTTATTCCCCGATCCTCAAGAATGAAGCATACAAGGGGTATAAATAACCCTCTAGGTCTAATAAGAATAGAATCCTAAATAAATTAATCTAGGAAACTAAATAGAATAGGAAACCTCTAGTTCTAATAGAACTCCTAATTAAATCATTCTAGGAAACTAAATAGAAATAGGAAACCTCTAATTCTAATAAGAATAGAAGTCCTAAATAGATCCTACTAGGAAACAAATTAAATTAGGAAACAAAATAAAAGGAATAATAAATATTAATTAAACAGCCCGCAACCAGCCCACGAAGGTGGGCTCAAGCCCGTCCCGCCTTCGGTAAACCCACGGGGGCTTCTGCCCCTCTTCTTCCAAGCCCAGATTCTGCTTCATATCAATTCCACCCCCCTTCGAAAAAACCTTGTCCTCAAGGTTGAAATCCGGAAACCGGCTGACATTTGTTCCCGGTGGCTGCCCAGTATCTTTAGGAAAAATTGAGATGTACTCCTCCACAGTCCTTGTCTGCTTGCTTCCGGACAGCCGTTCAAAGCAATTGCCCTGAAACTGTGAGTCAAAACGAGCCACCAATGCCTGTGTAAGCTCATCCCATGACATGCCCGACTTTTGTGTCCGCATCGAGGTCAACCGGTATAGGGCTGACCCTTCCATCACAACTACAGTGGCTGCCGCCTTCTTTCCCGGCAGAGCACAATTCAATTTAAACCGTTTCTCAGCCTTATCAACCCGGCTGATCGGTTCTACTTCGTTAAACGAGGGCAACGTTGTAGGAAAGGAGCTGCGTAGTCCAATTCCGAATGAGGATGCTGCTGCCGCGTCGAGTGAAGTCACCACCATTGAATGCTCTGCCGCTGGCGGTGCGAGAGTCTCTTGTAGGCAACCAATGAAGAAGTGACGTTGTGCAGCTGTCCGTCGCCGCTGTGCGTAGATACGTTGGGGCTGCCAACCGTGTCCGAGCTTGTTTCCGTCGTGACTGATGGAACGAGCGCCTTGGTAAGCGCTGCCAGGTATGCGGCGATCTCTGCCAGACGCATGTTGTGCTCCTTTAGGGTTTGAGTTTGCTTGGCCAGCATCTCTGACAAACGTTCACCGATAGATCTCGTCATTCTGGCGGAACGGGATCCGGCAGGTCGGACCAATTGATAAGAACAGAAAAAAAAAATCAACGGGGTAACCCGTTGCCCAAAATAATCAACGGCTGGATCCGTTGCCCAGAGCTAAATAGCTAAAACCAATATTATTAATGCTTGATTTGAATAAGCCTAGGCAGGGGTTTATATAACCCTTACATCCAAAACTGAATAGGACACTAAATCCTAGTAAGAAACATAATAGGAGTCCTAATTAAATTATTCTAGGAAACTAAATGGAATAGGAAACCTCTAATTCTAATAAGAATAGAAGTCCTAAATAGATCCTACTAGGAAACAAATTAAATTAGGTAACAAAATAAAAGGAATAATAAATATTAATTAAACAGCCCGCAACCAGCCCACGAAGGTGGGCTCAAGCCCGTCCCGCCTTCGGTAAACCCACGGGGGCTTCTGCCCCTCTTCTTCCAAGCCCAGATTCTGCTTCATATCATAATGTCATGAAGAATTATGGCAGATCAAACAAAAACTAATAGTGTAAAGTAAGAGATACAGATTTATTGTGGTTCATTGGTCAACTTGAATCACTCGTAATCTTTTACTTTTTATATCAAATTTTTATCAAATTTAAATTTTATTGATCAGGCTTTGTAGCGGTTTTAATGTAGTTTCTGAATATGTAAATTTTATTTACTAAAAATAATCCGAGTGTGAGCAGGGATCGAGTTGCTTTATCGTCAGTCAAGCATCGTAAACCGAACGGGAAGTTAATTTTGGGATGGAGGTAGTATACATAATGGAGTGTAATTTTTACTTTGTTCAATATATATAATTTTAAAATGTAAAAAACTGTATATACAAAATGACATGTTGTTACTTTTTACTACCCCACATTAGATTCAACATTGATATTTGATCAACTTTTTCTTTGCAGTATATAACTCATCTAAGAAACTCCCTCCTTTTCAAGCTAGACCTTGTCTTTCGCGCCTAAGCTTACTTCTTTTCATGCCTTTGGTGATCAACTCGTCAATTGACTGCCTTTTCCATGTCTTTCTATTATGTTGAGCATTTTTCTACGGTCTCACGTCTAGGCACAATTGGGCTCCTCCTTTTGCTTCTTTTTAAAACACAGCTAAGACATAAATAAAATGCACCAATATGACTTATTCGATTCTACTGAAACTATAAACTTCCCCAGTTAAGAATAAGTGAACCATATTTTAAGAACAAAATGTGATGATCCTATTTATACACTTAATTTATATTGTATTCCCTATTTAAGGAATTTTCTCAAAAAATGACATGATGTGTAAATTATGACTAAGTTAAAAGACTCGATATGCATTTTTTTTATTGAAAGAATGGAGGATTGAAATTGAGCACAAGGAATAAAGAAATACGTACGGAGTAGTAGTTTTCAATGGCATGCATCATGCAGAAATAGATGATAACCGGCCGGGGATTTAGATCGTCATAAAGTATAATCGTTTTCAATGGGAGACAAAAAAACCCACAAGAATTGAAGTCTGTTTTAGGTAGTACCTTTCCGTAAGTGGGATTCTCTGTTTCATGGAAAGCCGCCGCACGGCGTATAGTTCCGACTTGAAGATGTAGGTATGCAGTTGTTTCACCGTCGCCGGAGGGGAAGAAAGGAAGAACGTAAATTGGCCGGCGGATGATTTGGAGAAATCTAAATCACGAATAGATCGAGGGACGCCAGGATGGCGGTAACAGACTCGGAAGTTATGGCCGGCCTCTAGGCTCTAGCTCCCTCTTTTTGAGGAGAGATATATAGTTACATTTAATTCGCAACTTTGCATGCAAAAAGCTGACATAGGAAAATGTGTGCAACACTTTTTTCTCTATTTGAAATTCTATAGGCACGTGCAACCATGGCTATAGTTGAAATGTGTGCATGGGCAATGCTAGGGGCCAACGGACCGGTATGAGTGCCTATAGTACAACCGGCTATCCGGTGAGCACCGTACAATCGGGGACATTTTGGTAATTTAAATGAAATTCGCGTCTGAGTATTTTTAGTGAGCATGCGACATATTCTGTTGAGTATTAGAAACCCAATAATGAGCATTGTGATCTCTGATTCGTATCTTTTAATTCAATTTATTTGTAATTATTTTTCTTTTTATAAAAATTTCTTAAATTATACGCTGTATCTATAATCAACTCCTATGAATTTCAATATGTGAATCTAATGTAAATGGTACTTTAGAAATATGCATAATGCATTGATATGAAATTTCAAAATGAGTATAAAATCAGTACCAAATGAGCACATTACTTACAAATGAGCATTGATATGAAAATCGAAAACATTGTTAGTTGAATATCAAAACATTTTTATCGAGCATCAAACTTAATCTATTGAGTGTTAGAAGCATGCAATTGAATATCATGATCCCTACCCCGTTTCTATAATCAACTCTTACACAAATGTTAAATGTAATGTAATATGATACTTTTAAAATATGTATTGATATGACATTTTAAAATGAACATAAAACCAATACTAGATGAGCATGTGTAACTCATAAAGTGAACATCGAAAAATTAAAAATCTCATTTGAATTCTCTAATACGCTCAAATATTCATGTGTGTATACTCATTTCATTTAAGCATTATACTCATTTGAATTGTACCCGACTGTACCAAACACACAGTACAACCAGTTGTATGATATAATTTACCGAGTTCATCATTCACTTTAAATTTCATAAAACCTTTTTTATGTAAATAAAATTGTGTAAATTACTCTCCCGTTCTCAAACAGCTTCTAACTTTCACTTTGTTGTTTTTAGGAAATTATCAAATTAATTTTGTAGCTTAGCTAATACAAAGTACATAGTTAAAATGAATCAATGTCCTTTTTGGTCTTTTAACCTACTAATTAACTGCTATAAATAAACAGCGAAGTTACCAAACATATTTTTGTAACCCGCCGAAATTAATCTGCTGGTCAAATGCGTTGACTCAATCCGCTATTTTCAATCCGCTAACATTATCTGCTAAGCGCTAACAGTTAATCACCAATTGCCAAACATGGCCAAATAGTAGGTGTAATGTAAGTAAATAAATTAAGACTATTATTGTCCGATTATAATTGTCTCATTTTTTCTTTTCCATTCATTCCACTTAATTGAACTCATATTATATTTAATAATATTTGTATGACTCTAATTAATTCTTACTTTATTTCTCTATTTTATCAATTTATAATCAAACACATAACTTGGGGGCGAAGGTAGTAAAAATTTTCCAAAAATGGAATGAAAACTTCAGGAAAAGAAAATAAAAACTTAATTCGGGAATCGGGAGTATATGAAAGATTTCTTTCTCCCAGCCCCTTCAATATTTTCCTCTCAGTTGTTGTTTATAAAAGCTAACAAGTCTTGGGCAATTGGGCTGAGAGGATTTGTCTAATGAGCACGATTGTAATGGGTTTCATGGGCAGCCCATGACCCATTAAGTTAGAATCACAGAATAACTGAATTATAATGATGGTAAATAATGAAGAGTTTAAAAATAACGATATCTTCTTCTCTTCCGATTCTTCTGAAATGCTTCTGGATGGTGTATTGGAGATGCAGACAGTTGCATATGGAGTTGTGGTCAATTTCAATCAGTAATTTCTTCTTCTTTTTTTAGGTTCGGTGGTACAGAGAAGATGGGCGGTGTTCTGAGTAAGGCCGCCGATGGCTTCGGAAATGCCCTCGCCGTTCCCTTCAAGGCTATGCTCGAAGGATCTTGCGAGTCTGTCCTTTTTCATCCCCCAGAAATTAAATGCCCATTTCTATTCGATGAATTCCGCTTTGAATATGTTTTGCTTTTATTGTATTAAAATAACTTTCCCCTGTTCGGATTTTGCAGAGAGGTTTGCAGCGGAGTTTGGGATGTATCGTGTTTCATCACTCATCTTTGTGTCTCGGATTTGATCAAGTTATTTATGATCCTGGTGCTTTGCTACATAAGTAATTCCCAGTCTGTCAGCTTTATGTTTTGTGTGGTTGCATTTGACATTCATAAATCATAAGTACATAAACTTGGGTTTTTAGTGTTAGTCAAGTGCATCAGTTATATTAACACGTCAATATGGTTGCTTTAGCTAACGGAATGCCATGTAAGAATGGGTGTCGACCTATGGGGGTGCATCGACCAAGGGGAAGTCGACCTGTGGGGGGCTGGCGCCGATCGAGAGGAAGTCGACCAAGGGCTAGGGTCTGGTATCGACCTTCAGGAAGTTGGTCTATTATCACCCGTTAGCCAAGTTAGCCATATTAACGAGTTAATCTAACAGGTGTACGCAATTAACACTCAAAACTCGAGTTTATGTACTTAGGAATGTCATATGTAATGTATACTTTACTCCACCTCATACAAGATGATGTACTCAATTGAATTTTACCTCCTTTTCTTTATAAGTATGTTTTCACTTCCTACATAGCTTTAATTTACTATTCATTAATCAATAGTGTCCTAATTAGAATATTACAATTGAGTAGTTCAAAAATCAACAAATGATCTAATTAATGAATAATGACTCAGATTAATCGAATGCATTATGAATACAGTAGTCATATTTTTTTTAATTTTGTGGAGTACTGCAGCATTCACCAATTAGTCATATAAGTTTTTAATAAATTTATAAATATTCAATTAACTATATTAATAGTTGAAGTCTATAATGAAAAGTGTAAAATCCAAAATATTAGATGTAAGTACTGGTATATTTTGTAGAGATTTGAGGTGGTGATTTTTCCTATTTAAGTGAAACTAATGGTTCTCAATTCACCTTGGGCAGCTTTATTGTTTCTCTACATGTTCTTCAAACTGGGGATATGCCAGTGCGTAGGGAAAACTATATGCGGAATGTACTGCTCAGCGTGTAAGGTTTACTGGACATCAATCGGGTGTCTAATGTGTTTCTTCTGGCATAAACTTATCAATGTTCAGCGTGTGGATCGTCGCCTCCACCGACGGCGGCGCTTCGTAGATGTTGAATCTGGTGATAATTCCTTGAGTCTTTACGGTGAGTCTTCGTTTGTTGATGGAGGCGATGTAAGGATGTCTAGAAAGAGAAAAATGATGATCAAGGGGACCGGGGAACGTAGGCTTTACAGCCAGCATTATTCTCGCCATCACAGTCCCCGCCACCAACACTGCCACCAAAAGAGCCATCATCCTCGGGGTAGTATGTATAGAAGAGAAGCTGGTCTTCAAGTTAAGGGTAAGCCTCTTAGATTGGAAAAGTTAAGACATCATTCTCAGAGAAAGGACATTGTTGTTGTTGGCCCCAAGATGGCATCCTTCAAACGAAGACGAATTGTTGTCCAATGACTTTTCCTTTTCAATTGTGATTGTGTTATTTTGTTTATTTTGTAGATACATATAGATTCTGGAATCTGCTAGATACGAATTTAAGAAGATAAACAAAATTTAAGAAGATGAACTATTCTTGAAACATTGGATTTCAATGGTTATCACATTTTCAAAGAAAAAAGGAAATGAAAAATAGTAAGTTTGAAAACAAACTGTGTAATATGGTTGACATTCATGTTATTTCCATGTTTATAATTGTGTTTTTGATTAGTTTTGAGTGATTGTTACTCTAGAAATTACACACTTTTGGTGTAATAGTTTAGTTTGTAAAATGTTTGTAAATTGTTTAGATTAGGTTTGTTCTGAGCTCAAACAGGTCCAAGACCACTCTAGAGACCATTGGTGAACATCACAAGTGGAAGGAAGGTGCAAAAATTCCAAAACAAAATGAAGATCCTGATTTTTGGTGTTGTACCCGGTCGAGTATACCCTATACTCGATCGGGTAAGTTGCTGAAAAATCAAATCGGATAAATCCGCGAACAAGGCAACATGCAGAGAAGATTTTAACCACGATCGAGTGTCTATATCCGATCAGGTAGCCGACATACCCGATCGGGTATGCCCATGTTTTTCCAGCTTCCGCGAAGCAACTGAAGGCCCGATCGAGTACCCAATATACCCGATCGGGTACATGACCCTGCAAGCCCAAAAAAGCCTATAAATACACCCCATTTCCTCCACAATAGATCACCAATTCCTATATACTTCTAAGCTCAGTTTAGACAAGTTCTTTCTTTATACTTTTATCATGTTTAGTCTCCAAATGAGGAGCTAAACTCTTCCATCTTGGTTTTGCTACTTTGAAGCTTAATGAATTGTAAGTTGTGAGTTATTCTCTTTAATCTTCTTCCTTGAATATTAATTTTTCCTTTAAATACTATTTCTATATCAATGTTGGGGAGTGTTACTAAGATGACAATTAGTTAACATCTTGACATTAGTTATAGTAATAATTATTTCTTCCTCTATGTTAATATTGGGGAGTGTTACTAAGATGACAATTAGTTAACATCTTGATATTAACTATAGTAGGATTCATCTTCTTTAATATTCTTTCTTGAGTATTAATTAATTCCTATTCATATTTCATATTAATATTTTGAACATTACTTAAAGGATCAACTAGTTTTGTTTCATATATTAATTAATACTAGAATCGGTCGATTAATACGCTTGTTATTAATTCGGTCCCTTCATGGTAGTAAACTTGGATTATTAATGCATGCATCTCATGGTTAATAATCTAAGGGGAATTAATTATATTGATTAAACCAATAAACCGCTTGTGTTGAGGTTATCAATCTCAATCGTTTTCATCTTAAGTTTATTGCTACTATCAAGTTAATATACGGCGCTTGTTCTATATTGACTCGATAGTAAGTTTTATTAATGAACGCTTCTCGTTATTAATAACTACCCTCGATGAACTGGATATACTCCTCGATTGAGTATTCGAGAGGAAGATAGTTAAAGATATATCCGGGATCGACGAACATTTCATTAAGTGGATAAAAGCAAAGCCAAGTCTTCTTCTCATTAATTAAACTCATTTAAGTCATTCATCTTAGTGTTAATTAAATCAAATCTAAAACCCCCCCTTTGTTACTAGTTAATTAAAAAGAGAAATATTCCTTTCCCTGTGGATACGAACCTTACTTCGCTATACTACGTATTAGTGTCGTATTGATATTTATTTTGAGTGCACCTCACGACAAGTGCACGTCAAATTTGGCGCCGTTGCCGGGGAAAGGCAATTATTTTTCTTTTTATTTTATTTCAAGAAAAATCAAAAAAATATATAATTAATCAAAAATATAAAGAGTTCTTATTTTTCTATTTCTGAGCTTTGTGAAGTATATGGTCCGATATCGTTCCATAAACGAAATCACTTATCAAACAAACCCCGAAATAGAACAAGCCTTCGAGAGGTTGAGAAATTTATTTCCGCACACACCCTCGGAGGAATCCTCAAACGCTAGCTCTAGTTCTAGCGAATCTGAAGAGCCAATCACTATGGCTCAAGAAACAAGAACACTGAGGGAGCTCACGGCTCCAAACCTGAATCAACAACCATTGTGTATTACCTTCCCCACTCTTGATGAGGGTAATACATTTGAGCTCAAATCGGGGCTTATTCATCTTCTTCCTTCCTTCCATGGCTTAAGAGGGGAGGATCCAAATAAGCATCTCTCAGAATTCCATGTTGTTTGCACAAGCATGTGCCCCAACGGAGTTACCGAGGAGCAAATCAAGTTGAGGGCTTTTCCATTCTCCCTCAAAGACACCGCAAAGGATTGGTTGTTCTATCTTCCCTCGGGAAGTATAGGAACACGGGCGGCCATGAAGAAAGCTTTTCTCGAGAGGTATTACCCCGCCTCCGTCTCCTCATCTCTAAAGAAACAAATTAGCAATGTGGAGCAAAATGATGATGAATCATTCTATGAATATTGGGAACGGTTCAAAAAGCTTTGTGCAAGCTGTCCATACCACGTCTATTCGGAGCAAGACCTCATCCTATACTTTTATGATGGTCTTTGCAATGATGATAGACGAATGATCAACGCCGCATGTGGGGGAGGAATCGTCAACAAAACACCTTCCCAAGCAAGAGACCTCATCTCGGAGTTTGCCGAAAACTCGAGACACTATAGCGGGAGGTCATCAAAAAAACGAGTGATGGCGGCAGAGTCCAACACCTCGTTGGAAAGTCAAGTTGTCGGCTTGACTTCTTTGGTTAAGGATTTCCTTTTAAATTCCAAAACCCAAGAAGTCAAGGTCTGCGGCATTTGCACTCAGCAAGGGCACCCAACCGACTCATGCCCAACTCTACAAGAAGACAACTCCGAGCAAGTCAATGCCTTGGGGTTCCCCAACCAAAAGAGGTACGATTCTTATGGAAATACTTATCATCCCGGGTTTAGAGATCACCCCAATTTGAGATATGGGAATCCGCAAGGAAACCCACCACAAAATAACCCTCCACAAAACCAATTTCCTCAAAAGCAACCGTATTCTAAACCCCAAGGCCAAGGCTCAACTATGTCCACCGAAGACATGATCCGAGCACTCACCTCAAATGTCTCAACCATGCAACAAAACATGGTTCAATTTCAGCATGAGACAAAATCAAGCATCCAAAACCTTGAGAATCAAATGAGCCAAATCTCAAGTGCGGTGAGTAGGCTTGAAGCCAAGGATTCAACAAAGCTTCCATCTCAAACGGAGCCGAATCCTAGGCAACAAGCCCATGCGGTGACATTAAGGAGTGGCAAAGAGTTGGTGATTGCCAAGGAGAAAGCCAAAAGCCACATTGGCGAGGAAGAAGAAGAGGAGATTGTGGACAAAGCTAAATCGGAGGAGGAGGAGGTTCACATGCCGACTCCACCACCGGCCATCCAAGAAGTTGAAGCCCCGTTTCCCGAAGCTCTGAGGGAAACGCGGAAGGTGGAGAAAGACAAAGATATCTATGAGACTTTCTCCAAATGTGAGGTAAATTTTCCCCTCCTGAACTTAATAAAAGGTGTCCCTAGATTTGCAAAATTTTTCAAAGAGCTTTGTACAATAAAAAGAAAACATAGACTCAATGGAAAACAAAAAGTCCAAGTTAGTGAACGTGTTTCCGCGGTCTTTCAAAAGAAACTTCCAAAGAAATACAATGACCCCGGAATGTTCACTATACCTTGTAAGTTGGGCGGCACTACGTTTTCAAAGGCCATGCTAGATTTAGGAGCATCAATCAATGTTATTCCTTATTCTTTGTATAAATCACTTGAACTTGGTCCTTTAAACGGAACCGGAGTGGTTATCCAACTTGCGGATAGATCAAACGCCTACCCTAAGGGTATTGTCGAAGACGTACTAGTTATGGTAGACAATTTGATCTTTCCCGCCGACTTTTATGTTTTGGAAATGGAAAATGATAAGAATGCGGTTCCTATCCTTTTAGGAAGGCCATTTCTAAAGACCGCTAGAGCTAAAATTGATGTTTTTAGCGGATCTTTAACAATGGAATTTGATGGAGATAAAGTTGAATTCAACATTTATGACTCCATGAAATACCCAAATGAAAATCATTCTCTATTTGCCATTGATATTATTGATCCTCTTGTACAAGATACTTTTGAAATAAATGGAGAGGACGAATTATTGAACGTGATTGAAAATGATTTCGGGGAAAATTCTTTAGGACTTGCCTCGATTCCCAATATGCAAGCCATGATGGTGGAATTGGATAATCACTTCCAACTTCCACTCATGCCACCGGGGTCAAGAGCATTTCCACTAACCATCCCCAAAGAGAAGCCTTTGCCTTCTATTTTGCAGGCCCCCGATGTTGAGATGAAGCCACTCCCAAAACACTTGAAATATGTGTTTTTAGGAGAAAAAGAAACGTTGGCGGTCATAATCTCAAACAAATTGACCGAAGATCAAGAAGAAAAGTTGATTGCGGTGCTTAAAGAGCACAAGTTGCAATCGGATGGACTATAGTCGACATCAAAGGCATTAGCCCATCTACTTGCATGCACCGCATATTGATGGAGGATGAAGCCAAGCCGGTGCGCCAACCACAACGGAGATTGAACCCACCTATGATGGAGGTGGTAAAAAAGGAGGTCATCAAGCTTCTCCAAATGGGGATAATCTTCCCCATATTCGATAGCAAGTGGGTTAGTCCGACCCAAGTTGTTCCCAAGAAAACCGGAGTCACGGTGGTGGAAAACAAACATGGAGAACTTATGCCCACCCGAATTCAAAATGGATGGAGGGTATGTATAGATTACCGTCGCCTCAACGCGGTAACTAGAAAGGATTTCTTTCCTTTACCCTTCATTGATCAAATGCTTGAGAGACTTGCGGGGCATAAATTCTATTGCTTCCTTGATGGCTATTCCGGGTACTTTCAAGTGCCCATAGCCCCTGAAGATCAAGAGAAGACAACATTCACTTGTCCGTTTGGCACTTTTGCCTATCGACGTATGCCATTCGGACTTTGCAACGCACCCGCCACCTTCCAAAGATGCATGATGAGCATATTCTCCGAGTATGTTGAGCTATTTATGGAAGTTTTCATGGATGATTTCACAATCCATGGAGACTCATTTGATTCTTGCTTATACCATCTATCGCTTGTGCTCAAAAGTTGTTTAGAA